CGTAGCATACGTGCGCTCAATCCAAAACGTTGCCTAAGGCAATCTGATTACGGATGGGGGAGGTGGTGGATAGACTTGTGGGAGAGGAGGCACAAAGCGGTAAATTTCCTCATCACTAGAGGGGAGTGGGGCGTAATGGATGGAGCGATGGATGAGGGGGTAGCGAGGGTGCCTACGTTGATGGGGGAGAGAGGCGACGTAGACAGGGTAGAGGGTGTAGAGGGTGCGGCGGATGGCAGTGCGAAAATCATCATATTCCTCGCACGCGAGGATCGTGCCCGCGATGACACAATAAACCTCTATATTATTATACAGTTTATACTCTTGCCAATCCACGCTAAAAACAAGGACGTGGAGGGGGAAAGAAGTGACGAGCGAGCGAGTAGCAGAGTGTGGGAAGATGGTGACTAAGAGGCGGGTGGCGTACCGGTGGTAGAAGAGTGAGAGTGGGAACGGCTGCCACCCATCGGGGAACGGGGGCCGCCCTGGGAGCTGTCGGAGGGTGAGGAAGTCACGGGGACGGCGGGATAATGACAGGGGACAAAGCCAGAGCGCCCTCATCTCGACGTAGACGAAGGGCTGCGGGTCGAACTGGGGAGGATTGGGGGGGCGATTCACTTCTTCGACGGCGCCGGCTTCTTGATCCCTCTGCGGTGGCAGATCGCCCTGCAGCAGTTCTTGATTTACTTCTTTCGTCTTCTTCTCGCGGCGGTTCTAGATTGCGCGCCAGATCGCCCTGCAGCAATTGCGGTGGTGCCCCTCCTGATTCTTCAATCGGCCGCTTTCCTTCTGCTGCTGCCCGTTTCCTTTGTGCCACAGCCTCTTTTTCTTCTCTGCTCAATTCGTCGGGACCAGTCGACTCACCCGATCCACCTTCTTCTTCCTCCTACTCCGCCCGGCCCGAACTGGCCTCTTCCGACTCGACGTCCTCCGATTCTTGATAATCAGGATTGTCTGACTCGGCCCCCGATTCCTCATCTTCTGGCGTCGTCTCTCCTTCCGTATACTGAAGGTGACCGCCCTCCTCGGTTTCCTCTTCGTCCTCTTCGGCTTCCTCACTGGTTTCTCCTATAGGAACGCGSCGGATKAGTGGGTCCCACGTGGAGAGATCAGTGACGTCGACGCTCAGGTATGCACCTCTCGAGGGTAAGTAGTAGCTACCCTCCTCAAATTCYGTACAGGTGGACCAAAGAAGATGCGGCTCCAGGGTACGAGTCAGCGTGGCTGTCCCTGGCCTCTCGTCGCAATGCGAGAGGATCTCCAATGGCAGATCGTCCAGCACTTGGGTTAGAAGCACCAGCAGCTCGTCCGTAATGGAGCTCAGATGGCCGTCGCACACTTCTTCGAATAAGTTCCCCAAAAAATCTCCGTGTCCGTTCTCCACCCCTGGATGAGCAGCAGCTCCACCTCGTCGTCAGGGATCTCGTCCCCCACACTCCTGTCTGCGGGTTTCGCCCAATGGAAGGCGACCTCGAGAAGGCAAAAATTGAGTGCCATGTAAGCTTGCCACCACTGCGTCCAGTTGGCCACGTCCACTTGGCTGCGTTGGCCGCGTCCACTTGGCCACACTCCACATGGAAGGCCGGAAGGGGGTGGGCACAAAAAAAAAAAAAAAAAAAAAAAAAAAAAAAAAAAAAAACCGACCCAATGCATTTGATTGTTAAGAGACACAGATCAAGAAGAAAAAAAAAAAAAAAAAAAAAAAAAAAAAAAAAAAAAAAAAAAAGGAAAAAAAGGGCCCATGTGCCTGACTGAACTGCTAAAAAAGGCCAGCCCGAGTTTCAACTGAATTTGAAACTTGGGCCTTGACTCAACTGCTAAAAAGCAGTTTGAAATGGAATTACAAACTGAAACCCTGAGTGCACCGTAGTTTTCTCAAGAAATAAATAGGAAAAATAGCAGCACGAGGAGGGAGTCGTGACTCATGAGGCGTGATCGTTGGGAGAGCACGAACGGCAGAGATGATGCATTTGGTACAAAGGTGAGGCGCAAATGCGACAGATAGCAGCATGATGCCATGAGGTAAAACATAAAGGACATACGGGAGGCAGGGCACAAAAGGCTACAAAGGATGGAAAAGTCAAGCACAGACACAGAGCAGAAAAATGGCATACAGGATTGAAGCACCACGCAGGAGTGGTGTCTCTCTCTGCAGGAAGAGGGAGCCCTGGTCAAGGGTGAGACGACTGGTGCGGCGACTGGGTAATCAAATGGAGTCTCCAGGCCTCGGACACCCACCCCCAGCCATCATGATGGGTGTCCCCCCACCTATGACTGTGTTTATCTGGTGTCTGCTTGCAATCTCTATGCTTGCCGCTGATAAGCAACCGGACTTCCCCCCCCCCAAGAATAGATGAGACAAAAAACAAATTCTTTTCGCATGCTACTAGCGTGTACRCAGTGCATGATCTAGTTGATGTCAATGTCCTTCAGGACATTCGTTACAATTGGAACCATACAAGGAAGGGTAAATGAGCAAATGGGCCCTGCGCAAGGATGACACGCAAGCAAAAATCCAGACTTGGTCCAAAGTTGACGTTCATCGTGCACCTGCTGCAAGGTTGAGGAAGTACAGAGGCGGCCGGCGTCGATTGCGCCGTCGAAGAMAAAGCGAGTTTTGGCAACGTGAGATGCAGAAGCCCCTGAGGAGGCCACAGTGGTGGGAGGGAAGGGCGTGTATCTAGTTGGAGGGAAGGGGTACCTTCCGAGTGGGGGGTGATAAACGACTGCGATGGTGTGATATTTGAAGTTTGAATTATATCCATGCGTCATGTGTTTGATGAGGGAGAGTAGGCACCAGGATAATTTAGGGATGCCAGGATGTAGCAAAAAAAAATGATGTGCTGCAGGTTGTATTGATGTCAGCTTGGAGGCTTATCACAAACCGGAAGGCTATATATTCATGCGTCATGTGTTTGATGTCAGCTTAGAGGCGTCGAGCAAAAATGATGTGCAGGTTGTATTGAGGGCGTCCCAGACTTCTTTCCCCGACGTGTGTGTGTGTGTGTGTGTGTGTGTGTGTGCGTGTGTGTGCGTGTGTGTGTGTGTGTGTGTGTATGTGTGTGTGTGTGGTGTGCGTGTTTTCTTCTTTTTATTTGTCCTTGTTTTTCTCTCCTTTTTGAAGTTTTTTCTCCTTTTTTTTCTTTTTTTTTTCTTTTTTTCTCTCTTTTTTTTCTCTTTTTTTTGTCTTTTTTTCCGCTTCGGCGAGGGCATACGAAGGTTTTACAGAGAACTTTTCCACTTTAATACGCTCCGGTACACCACGGACAGATCTGCACTTAAAAATGTACTTGAGTAGCAAAGATAATCCTCAGTTATCGATTGGGACTATACATATCCYCTGGAAAACAGAGGAGGGTCGGACATTKTACTCTCCATCGCTGAAGTCGCCATGCGGGTGGCCTCATCTCCTCAAAATTAATAGACGAGAAAAAGATGAATAAGATAAGATCTATACCGGGCCATTTCACCCTGGCACCTC